TGGGGAGGCCATTTCAGCCCGCGCTTTTTCCCACCAACCACCTCCCCTCCCCCAAGATTCCGGCGAAAGTAGCCGGCGGGAGCACGCCGAAAGGCTGCCACACGCACGAGGTTGCCCTCCGCCCCCCTCCCCCTCCTCCTGCGCCGGGAAGTTGCGAACCTACGGCCCTTCATCGCGGGTGGCCGGATTTGGCTTTCCCGGCCGCCGGTGGCTGCGCCATCGCGGAGCATCTCGCGCAGCCCCGGCAAAGTCGCATCGCCGCATGTAGGTGCGGGTTCGTCCTCTCGCCGCCGCCGACGGTTTGCGGGCATGGATTCGGCCGTCCGTCCGCTGGGCTTGGCGCTCACGCAGAGGCTCTGTGGCTTGCCGATGCCGCTCATACAGTGCGACGACTGCACGTGGACAGTGCTATGACTGACTTCGGGCACGCCAAAGCACCCCGGATGGGTGTGAGGGATTCCTAGATTAGGGGGTATCCGGACAGCCGAACTATATACATCGTCCGGACTATTGAAGCATGAAGATACAAGACTCAAGACTCCATCCCGTGTCTGGATGGAACTCTCCTTTGCGTGGAAGGCAAGCTTGACGATCCGGATATTGTATTTCCTTCCTTGTAACCGACTCCAGGTAAACCCTAGCCCTCTCCGGTGTCTATATAAACCGGAGAGGTTGGTCCTTAGAAGACCGATCACAATTACAATCATACCATCATAGGCTAGCTTCTAGGGTTTAGCCTCTACGATCTCGTGGTAGATCTACTCTTGTACTACTCATATCGTCAATATTAATCAAGAAGGAAGTAGGGTTTTGCCTCCATCGAGAGGGCCCAAACCTGGGTAAACATCGTGTCCCTAGTTTCCTGTTACCATCAACCTAGACGCACAGATCGGGACCCCCTACCCGAGATCCGCCGGTTTTGACACCGACATTGGTGCTTTCACTGAGAGTTCCTCTGTGTCGTCGCTGCAAGGCTTGATGGCGCCTTCAATCGTCGGCAACACGGTCCAGGGCGTGACTTTTATCCCCGGACAGATCTTCGTGTTCGGCGGCTTCACACTGCAGGCTAATTCGCTTGGCCATCTGGAGCAGATCGACAGCTACGCCCCTGGCCACCAGATCAGGTTCGGAAACCTGAACTACACGGTCCTATGCCAGGAGCACCGGACGGTCACGATGAGCACGGCTTAGACCTACTGTCGAATAATGCTCGGGATATCACCCCTGCAGTAGCCTCGGACCTAAATCCGGAGCAGGCTGCGTTGCCTAAGGAGGGAGGGATGGACCCCGCCCCCACTACAAGAAATATGTCAACTAGTGACCTTCTGTCAGTGACCCTAGAAGAATTGGTCATAGATCTATGACCATTCCAGACCAATTGGTCAAAAGCGGATTAGGGGCCTCCAAATCCTAAACTATAACAACCATTTTGGTCAGAAAGGTTGTAATTTCCTTACACGAAATGGTCATAAAGCAGATACCACTGGTCTGCTGCCTTATTTCTAGCTGATCATGACCAATATAGATGGTCATAACCTTGTAAATTATGGTGGGTTGCTATGACTAGGCGCCACCTCATCAGTTTTGCCTATGTGTCATGTCCATGTGGCAGTTTTGGCCGTAGGTTGTGAAGCAACCTATATTTCTGTCATTCCTAAAATTCCCCAAAAAATCTCATAAATTCTTTGGGTCATATCTTTGTCAAATATGTAAAAAACCTTTCTTGCCTAGTTCAAAAATAATTCAAAAATATTCATTTTCCTATTTTGTTCAGAAAAACACTTTGTGAAGGAAGTACCACTTTGGCATGTCCAAATAGTATCCATTTTCTACAGTGCTTTCCTATGCCCAAATAACCATCCTCCACCAAATGCCAGCTCAATCCATTCATTATTTTGAGCCCAGCTTCAACATTCGTATTTATGTTCAGTGTGGTACTTTGCAAAGCAAGTACCACCTAGGCTCCTCCTTTTGAGCTGAAAATTTGTAAAGACGGTCTTCTTAGTAACTGATCATCCTCAGCCAAAACTCATGCCCATTAGCCACGTGCATTTCCCGTACCGCTAATCAAACACTTGGCTGCTTATTCATGTTTGAGCATCGATCGGTCTCCTCGTGAGAATCTTATGTTGTGATTTTCCTCCTAGCACCTACCTGGGGAGTGCCCAACCCACTAGACATGCCTAGGCCGCCTAGAACACATGGCAACGCCACGGTCACGCGGTGACCTCGCGGCGGGCATGCGAGTTTACGCGCTCTAGAGTTGGGGCCCTCGGCCACCATCCAAACCTCAACGTATCGCCACCAAACCATGTATTTCTGATTAAATAGGTACGTATGTAACTAGAATTGATTTTTGGAAAAAAATAAATAGCAAACTATGAGGCAGCTGCAGTTCAAATTTGACCCGCTTCCTACTAAATCGGCGGTAATTTATCTTTTTCACCAGAGGTGGATCAAAACTTTTGACACCCGACCATTTTGTCAATTGTGAATTAAATATGTCCTAGTATTTTAGAAAATTGATTTGGTCCAATTTTGCAACAAATATATGGTAGGTCCTTCACAAAAAAAAACTCATTTCAGGCACTCGGAAAATGGAAAATGAATTTTCCGGGCAAAGAAAATGAAAACTCCCTTAGGCAACATTGTTTGGAATTCCAAGATGCACCCTTGTGCACAATATGAGATCATTTGAACAAACTATGCTATGAATGTGGCCATAAGATTGATCATTTCTCAAAACACGCATGATAGCTCATTTCTCAGAACACTTTTTTAAAATAATTTCCGTATTACAATTTTATTATTTTTCCAGGAAACTTGGCCACATATAATGACACAATGCGAAGGTTTTCCAATTTTTTGATTTTTTTTGATTTTTTTATGCCCGTTTCAAAATGCGGTCAAAACGGCGGGAATAACCGTTCCTAGCTAGTGGTTGAATCTTGAATTTTTTTTGGTGTTTCTCTGATTAAATAGATACTTATGTACCTAGAAATGATTTTTGGAAAAAATAAGGAGCAAACTATGAGGCAGATGCAGTTCAAATTTGACCCGCTTCCTACTAAATCGGCGGGAATTTGTCTTTTTCATGAGAGGTGGACCAAAACTTTTGACACCCAACCCTTTGGTCAATTGTGCATTAAATATGTCCTAGTATTTTATAAAATTTATTTGGTCCATTTTTGCAACAAATATATGGTAGGTCCTTCACAAAAAAACCTCATTTCGGGCACTCGGAAAATGGAAAATGAATTTTTCGTCCAAAGAAAATGAAAACTCCCTTAGAAAACATTGTT